GTTACGATGCTAAATTTTTATAAATATACTCTATATTAAATTTATATTCAAATATTTAAATATACTACGTTATATTACGTTCTTTAAATATTAAAATGCGATATTTTATTGCCGTGGATATATTTTAAATGTCGTACAAATGGTCCAATCAAAAATTGTTGCATTTAATTATAAATGTATAACTTATTTGTTAAAATTACGTGCATTTTTATTTTGGGAGAGTGCGATGTGTAACGCAAATTTTATATAAAAAAAAAAGAAAAAAGTGTACTCACAGTGAATGGAGGTTCTTGTATACATGTAAGGCTGAAATATAATTTTAGTATTTTAAAAGAAGAAAACACGTCAGGATGTGGTCGCGACGCCGGTTGAAGCGACTCTGATACGTTGGACGTTGGACCCGAATACGTTCGTACGAAGTTTCTTGTTTCCACCACACGGGAATATTATCAAAACTCGAAAGGTCGCTGCTGACAACTTAGAAAAACACCTCTAAAAATCTCAAATAATGGATACTTGACGATGAGATATATATCAAAATTCTTTTAGTTATTTCTCAAAATTAATTTAATATAAAAACAATTTTACTTTTAATTTTAACCCTATTTCCTCCAACGTTTTTTCCACCCCTTTAATCCTCCAACCATGCACTTTCAAGTCTCACGTGTTTTTCAAAATGTTAATAGCTTTGAAAAATTCCCCCAAAATTATTATAATATCTTTGTACCTTCGACTAAAAATCAATGTAAATAACATTTGGAAATCATTTATTTAAATATTTTTTTACAACAATTATATGTTGACAAACACACGTTACGACTCGTTTTATTTAAAAAATCATAACTCACGAACAAACAAATTGTTTGTCACGATCGTTTGTTTTCCGCAACAAACGAGTGTTAGAAACTCGTGGGACACGAAAGGGCGGGTTGGAGGAAATAGGGTTAATAATTTTTTAATACTTTAACGATTTACAATTTATTAAATTTATCACATGTTGATTATCATATCTAAAATGTAATAAATATTATAATTTTTCGTCCTGATCTCTCTATCTTGATTTTTTTTTTCCGAAACCCTCACCCTTATGGAAAAAGTTACTGATGTAGTTGCGAAAAAAACACACAAAACTTTAGCAATTAACTCTGTAATATTTACTATAGTTTCGTGTACTTTTTTTCAAAACTACAGTAGTCTTTCCGTAGTAATTTTCCGTAGGGGCAGCCAAACGTATGAAAATTTTACAGAGATATAATAATAAAGATCGGAGCAAAAATTTCGAGAAATATATGTAAAACTGGAAATACATAACATTTTAATAAATAAAATAGGAATAATCGATTTCTATTTGACGAATCAACAAACGCGAAGAAATCTGAGATAATATTGTCTTATATGGATTAATTAATGTTGGTTTTATTTTACAATTGTTATTTTAAATGAGATATAATAACATTCAATCGTATCGCATAGTGAGCAAAATATCAAATAGAAAAAAATTGGTATAATTTATAAGATATCCCATTATTTATCGGGTTAGTCGCGAGCTCTCTCGATAAATACGCTACTGCTTGAAAAAAATAAAAGCCGATCGAGTGCCCGGCAGTTCCATTGCCATATTGCCATACCGCTGCAGTGGAAGCTAACGAAAGGAAGTTCTTCGTGTCCCTTGCGAACGGTGGTGTAAAACAGTGTAAAACGGAAAAAGTTCCATACTTTATCTCAGGGAAGTATGCCGCGTTGCTTGATAAAGTCCATGGCGCGGTATCACAAGACGGACAATTCGAGCGAAGGTATATCTTCATCTTTTGTCGATATCTTTTACGATATCTTTCTGCGGACCATTAAGATTATTCAGGCCTAATGTAAAACCAGACGAGCCGAGCTTCATTATCGGCTATGACGGCTATGGAATATCCATGGCATGTATGTGCTCGACACGTGTCTCTATACTTCAACCTTGACTATTGTCACAATAATAATAAACAGGCTGCGGATATCTATGCCGGGAGTCTCTTATCTTCACGTGATTCTCCTGAGAGTTCTGCCGAATAATTACATAGATTATCAAAAAATAAATACCGAAGATACATTTTCAGGAACCATACAAACGCAATAGGGTTGTAGCTAAATAAATGTGCGACGGAATTTTTACGTACATCTCTTTTATTTCTCGTTAAACAATTATATCTTGCCATTTATTCTGCTGACTGAAGAGGAAGGAAGAGAAATGTTAATTTTTCTCGTTAGACGCAAGAAAGACGTACTTCAAAACTTGGAGATTAATTATTAACTGTCGATAGGCGAAATTTTAATTTCACATGGAATGACTTTCTGTCAGGCTCTTTCCAATTACTTAATTTATTTATTACAGAATTACTTTCTGCCACTTAAAATAACAATAAATCCTTCAGAGATGCTTTAAATCTCGACTATTCCGGTAATAAATATCGTGCCAGCTTCGAGTGACGGAAAATCGATTTTTACAGAGACCGAATTCCCGTGGCTGCCGCCGTCAACGGATCTCAAGCGGAAGAGCCATACGAAAGACGCAACGTCCAAGACGAGCAATATCTGGACCTGCTCCGGGCTGCCCATCGTAACCCGTTACAGCTTCCACAAGAGCAACGGCGCGACATTCGACGCCGAGTTAAATCCAGCTGGGCAAAATTGCGGAAATACACATCACGATGCGGCGTCGATCGACGGGCACGTGAACGATAATGCGGGGAAGGTGTCGACGATATTGCTCGACGGGGTGCCGCGATTCTCCTCCAAGGCGGAGAGATCGGCTACGCAGACGTCGGAGGCGGGAAAAGTCGCTAACGTGATAAATCCGCCGGTCGTGATCAACGGCTGCGAAACGCAGACGCTCTCGCAGGCTCTGTACTTGCTGCCGAAACAGAAGCACGAGTCGGTCAATGCTGCCGAGGGTAAGACGGCGTCCGCTCGAGAAGGCGCCCAGCACTGGAAGAGAAATAAAACGATGCACTACTGCCCGTACTGTCGCAAGAGCTTCGACCGGCCGTGGGTGCTAAAGGGTCATTTGCGTCTACATACGGGCGAGCGACCCTTTGAGTGCCCGGTTTGTCATAAATCTTTCGCCGATCGGTACGTACGACAAGGACTCCGACGCAGGAACGCGCTCCTGTGTTTTAATTCCGTCGACGAGAAACGTGGATAAGAATCGATCTCTTAAAGGGAAAACTTTGATCAAAAGTTAAAATAAAAAGTTGGAGTACACGAAAGTCTCGTTCTATTCGATTAGTACTGTTCGGAATGTTAATTGCTATGTATTAAGAATCGATCTCATCCTAGGTAGAGAAAGCAAAAATTTTGATCAAAAATCAGATTAAAAAGTTGAAGTATATACGAAAGATCTGTGAAGCTGTCAAAGCATCTTCGGGGAAAAATGGAGAACGATTTTATTCTCGTTCTATTCGATTATAATAGCGCTGTTCGGAATGTTAATTGCTATCAAGGGTGCATCATTTGCCACGCGACTAATTAATCTTTTGGGATTATTGCAGCTCGAATCTTCGCGCACATCAAAGGACACGCAATCATCATCAGTGGCAGTGGCGTTGCGGCGTGTGCTTTAAGGCTTTCTCACAAAGGCGCTACCTGGAACGCCACTGTCCGGAAGCCTGTCGCAAGTACCGTATATCTCAGAAGAAGGAGATCCCTTGCCCATGAATCCCGGATGGGGAACGACGGCGAGGAGTAGATATAGGAGTAGATAGTAGAGGTAGCGACTTTTTAACTACCGGCGGTAGTTAAAGTCGCTCTCAACGACGTATATAGCGCTTATACCAATGTAAAGTCAATGTTCTGACGCGTGCGTTATATGATCGAAGTTTATGCCGTTCTTTATATTTCTCAATAAAATTTCAATCTTTCATATCGTCAACAGGTGTGCGGCAACTTTATTAACATGATTTATTGCGTAATTCAGATTTAAAAATTCGCGATATACGCTGAAGTTGTAGCTATACTTATAGCTCCGTAAAGCTATACTTATTTTGATCTCTGACGTACGATGAGGCTTAAATCGTTTCTAGGATTACATCAATCTCGAGATGTTAAGATGTATTTCATTGAATAGAATCTTAAGATTATTTGAAACTAAACTTAATATATATATGATTTTACACTTAAATTATCTGAGTAATTATTTAACTTTAAATTTAATTATGAAATCATTAGCTCAAATACTGCCATTTTATTAGTCGGACGGAATCTCAAGTTCACCCGAGATCAGACTTGTAATATATGTTGAATTTATAACTCTGTGACCAACTTCAGATAGAACTCTATAATGACATGATTATGATGACATTATCATGACCTGGACATGTCCAGATAATTTTTAAGTGATGAACAAAGTCACGATAACGTTATCATGATGCCATTATGAGTTTTATGTTCTACTGGGACTTTATTTCGAATATATGAGGCTTGAATATCGCTTTGACGAAAATATTCATGTCTGATCTTATATTTAAGAAACGCAATCTCAAGACACTTCATTGGATGGAAATATTTTTAATTTTAAAAATATCTGAGACTAGATTTAATATGATTTTATATTAAAATTATCTGAAATTACTTTTAAATATAAAATCGTCTCGAAATATTATATAACTATTTTATTGATCGGATGGAATCTCAAGTTCATCTGATATTAGACTTAAAAATGATCTTGAACGCAAGATCGAATTATGAACGCCGCTTTTAGTTTCGACAGCAACGTGTCGCTCTCATATACTTGGCACGCGGTGATTGGCCAAGCCGCCGCATACACAATTCGAACCACGTGGCACGTGATTCGTGCCGGAACCATGTTTCCGGGTCTGTTCTTTCCGGTTGTTTTATGTTGCGCTATCTGAAATGTAAACGACAGGCCCGTATGATCGGAAGACGGAGTTGAAAAACGGAAGAACAGAAGGTATGAAAAATTCAGCAACAAATGACAGATCCATTGGCTGATCTCGCTCGCCGCAATCCGGCCGCGTCGCCGCGTGTCCCTCTCATGAATACCGCCTTAAAACGACGCCTGGCGGCCTGGCCGGGAGCCGGGACCGGGGCGCCACGGTGGCATCGCCGTCTTGCTACCGTCGCTCTTTCATGGTGCGGATCGTGTACACCGAACAAGCAATAATCGTCGCTCGCATTCGACGCAGTGCATCAGTCGGGATTTCGGGATACTGCAAGAGGAACGCAAATTACGAGTCGTAGAGACAGACCGAGAGACTGAGAGTCGGGACCGCGTGTTAAACACTAGAACGCTTTTTTTCCGAAGCGTAACGAGTAGAGAAGCGGTAGAGAGAGGTAGAGCGAGAGGGAGAGTGAGAGCGAGAGCGAGAGAGTGAGAGCGAGTGTGAGAGAGAGAGAGAGAGTGAGAGAGGGCGAGAGAGTGAGAGAGAGCGCGAGGAGAGTGAGGAGAGGGAGAAGCGACAGCGCGGCATCGCACCGAACGAGAAAAAACGGTGCCCCGACGCGGTTACTGGCGCTGCGAGAAGTCGGCGAAATCCATTGACATTGGGGGAACGGCCATTTTGGCGTGTTGTTTCCCACGATCGAGTGCCCGAGGCGCGCACACGCATATACACACACGGCATCGACGTCCATTCGTTTTCAAGGTAAGGAGCAACCACGCGGACGACGACGTTACGCGTCCGCCCGGCGACTCCCGCACAACCGCCACAACCCCATTGTTCTGTCCGTCCGTCCGTCGTCGTCCCCCGGCCCCCGCGGCGGCGCGCCGCGAGAAATTCCACGCGCGGAGCCCCCCTCGTGTTGGAACGGTTCAAGTAATATCGCCCCGGGGGCTTTTTCGTCGCCCCGAAACGCCCCGTTCGCGCGAGCCGATCTAGACAAGGGTGTAAAAAAAAAAAGAACCCCCCTTTTGGCCCCCCTTCGCGATCGGCGTCCGTTGGAGCCGCGTGGAGACAAGCAAGCCGGCCACGGTATATTTAACGCGCAAATCCCTCACTCGCGTGAGTTCTGCCGTTATCGACGGTTCGAACGGTTGAAATTCCCGTGACGGGTATACTCAGTACTCGCCCGGGCGGCGCATATCGGCTACCGTTAATCACTCGCGATTAGGTGAGTACTGAGTATGTACGTGTTTTCCTTACGCCGTTTTTGAATTTACGGAACTTTCGGAACGGTCGCGAACTTTCGTCATTCGAAGATACAACGAAATCTCAAGAATGTTCCTTTGTCTCTTTGTTGTATGAGTAATACTTCAATACATTCCGTACATAACAAATCTTAATAGCGCTTAAGAGCCTCTCTTGTTTTCTTAATCTCTTTTTCTTAACGTGCGTTAAGTATACGATTAAAACGAAAAAGTGTCGCTTTGTTTGAATAAAATCTTTTTGTAAAGCTTAAAATTAGCTTCATAATTCTGTTTTTCTAAAAAAATAATTTATTGAATTCTTTACTTCACTCAAGAAAGTTCTTATTTCTTGTGTAATTATATTAAATTTCGTGTTCATTGAAAGTTACAAACGATATGGAAATCGAATTTTTTCGACTAACACAGTCAACTGCTTCATCTATAGAGTTATTCATGGTTGCTTCCTGTATCCAAACACACAAAAACACTTAGCATATTCGAATGTATTCATAACGGCAAACACAGAGAGATACCTACAGGCATACACTGTAGGTCAATTGTGTTTGGCCTTGCTCCCTTTCCATCTCCTTCTATTTAGACGTTAATATAAAACCTGATACATACTTTCGAATATGCTTACGGGATCAGAACTATTATGATATAATTCAATATTTTACAAGTGTAACTGTGATATAAAAACGTTATGAGTAAAATTTATGTGACTTTAAACATTTACACAAAGAAATTTATATCGTAATTCCTACGTAAGCTTAGCTAGCGTGTATGCGTATATTAAATGTAATTATAGTAATAACGTGTCTTTTATTTTCTTTTCTGTCGTCAGGAAAAGATAGTAGATATACTACAATATTTCCAAAATGATGACCGAAACGCATATGAACTCTAACCATATGTTGAATTCTGGTTTGTCTAATAAATCAGAGATAGAGAAAATGGATGATGTGGGTTGGAAAGCCAAATTAAAGATTCCACCAAAGGATAAAAGAATTAAAACAAGTGTGAGTTCTATGATAGAAAAAGACAAATTAATAAATTATTAAGTAACGAGAAATTAATAACGATATATAAATATGTAACAATAAATTAATATAAGTATACATAATAAATATATAACTAAATGTATAACAAATTTTTATACCTTAAAATTTGAGTTATTCTTGCAATATGAAAAATTTTAATAAGTCTTCAAAATTAATTTTACTATTGTTTGCGGATAAAGATCCTTGAGAAATTGAATACTTAAGTTTTCCACATTGAAATTTAGTTCGAAATATACCTTACAGGATGTTACCGACACACGTGGTAACGAGTTCGAAGAATTTTGCCTAAAACGAGAACTATTGATGGGAATTTTTGAAAAGGGATGGGAGAAGCCATCGCCGATCCAAGAAGCTAGTATTCCTATTGCACTTTCTGGTAAGGACATCTTGGCACGAGCGAAAAATGGAACTGGTAAAACTGGAGCGTACTCAATTCCAGTGCTGGAACAGGTATGATGAAGGCTTTAGCTTGAAAAAAAAAAAAAAAAAGAAATATTTGTTTTGAATGTCGCGTGCTTATTATTGCCACTTCAGGTTGACCCGAGGAAAGACGTAATCCAAGCACTGGTAATTGTGCCTACAAGAGAATTAGCGCTACAAACATCACAGATTTGTATTGAGCTCGCAAAGCACATGGATATAAAAGTTATGGTTACTACTGGAGGAACTAACTTACGAGACGACATTATGAGGATTTATCAAAAAGGTAAGGTCTAGGAAAGTGTGTGATTTATCGATAAATTACATTAAATGAGTCGACCGATGTATAATTTGTCTGTAATTTATGTTTTCAGTACAAGTGATAATCGCAACGCCAGGAAGGATCCTTGATCTGATGGACAAGAATGTGGCAAATATGGAGCATTGTAAAATTCTAGTTTTGGACGAAGCAGATAAGCTGCTGTCGCAAGACTTCAAAGGAATGTTGGATCATGTAATATCGAGGTGCGTTTGTACAAAAATATTACATTTTATTTTACACAGAATTTCTTTATTTAACCACACACTCCTTTTACGGTAGGTGGATAACTATGAAGAACTGTGCAGAAAAATCTCAAGTTCAATATTTTTTTTGTATGAGAGACAATTAAGGTCGACCATTCACAACGCTTTGCTTCTTTTATGCGCTCGTACATGCAATGCTGCATTTCGTATAATTAAAGTGCTTGAAATGTAAAACGTGTCATATTGAATTTAGGCATGTCATGTTGCAATATATTCACATTCCCGAGTGTATCAAATTGACTAATCAATGACTAACTTTAATTGACTCTCGCTTAAAATTCACTGAAATTGTACTATTTATTTCACTCGCAATTTTAACTCGTTGCCATATTTTCTATCTGATACTATTAAAACACAATTTTTAGCTAATATTACAGAAATTTAATACATATCACGCGTGTAATATAATACTATCAATTATTCCAAAAAAAATAACCATATTACTCATCTCTGTTATTTTGTGTTTATTAGTTTTCTATTATTTTCATTCTAGATTACCACATGAGCGTCAGATTTTGCTGTATTCAGCTACGTTTCCTCTGACTGTGAAACAATTTATGGAGAAACACTTGAGAGATCCATATGAGATTAATTTAATGGAAGAGTTGACTTTGAAAGGCGTAACACAATATTACGCTTTTGTACAGGAACGACAAAAAGTTCACTGCCTTAACACGCTATTCTCCAAGGTAAGACTTAATTTGATCTTATGTAATTCTTTATCAATGATATAATAAATCTTTTGGTTTCAAGCAAATATATTATTAATTTATGTATTACTTTTATAGCTGCAAATAACGCAAAGCATAATCTTCTGTAATTCAACGCAACGCGTCGAATTGCTGGCTAAGAAAATAACAGACCTTGGGTATTGCTGTTATTATATACACGCGAAAATGGCGCAGGCACACCGAAATCGCGTATTCCATGATTTCCGTGCAGGATTATGCCGAAATCTTGTAAGTTAATTAATGTATAACATTTTTAATTAGAAAAATTTAAATCTTATTTCAATTTTAATTACATTATATATAATGTATTATCTCTAGTTCAAGTAAATGTAAATATTGAAGCAAATTGTACATTGTACTAATGTATCTATAATTGAAGATTGTAATTTATTAATGTTTTTATTAAATGTTTTCTTTTTTTACAGGTGAGCAGTGATCTATTTACCCGCGGTATTGATGTTCAAGCTGTGAACGTCGTAATCAATTTTGACTTTCCGAAGATGGCAGAGACATATCTGCATCGAATCGGCCGATCTGGAAGATTCGGCCACTTAGGTATAGCAATTAACCTAATCACGTATGAAGATCGCTTCAACCTACACCGTATCGAACAAGAGCTTGGAACAGAAATTAAACCTATCCCAAAGGTGATAGACCCCAGTTTGTACGTGGCGAGACCAGAAGACAATAATAGTATGGAAGAAGGCAACGTGTCCAAGTAGTTTCGATGCATTGTGGTAAAATGAAGCTTCACACACGCTCAAAGAGTTTAAAGTGTGTGTCAAAGTGTGTCAAAGAGTGAGTTTACTTGTAAATAAAACGTACTAAGTATGAGTAATGATGAGTTGAGTGATTGAAGTGTCGGGCAAATGTCAGTGCGAATCATTTCTTTGTACATAAATACATTTAAATGTACATAAGCTAAAGCAAATCAGAGTCAAGCCATTATCAAGATGCACAATATGTAAACAGATATGTGAATAACATAATAATCAATCATTGCATTTTATCATAACTGTAAATACTACATGCGAGGACATACAACATCGTTTTAATAGAGGATTTTTATACAACGGCTTCATTCTTCCAGTATTTTTTTTCCTTCTGTTGTTGTGTAACAATGAAGAAGAGGGCATATATGATTTAGAAAATCTATCGGCCAATCTCACCGAGTACAACATACTGATTCACATGTGCTCATTACTTTTGTACTGTCATGCATATATAAATTGTCCTTAATACCAATAAGGTCGTGTGTATATATATACATATATATAAATTGCCCTTAGCGATTTATAAAATTTGGATATTAAATATCAGTTGTAATATTTGATCATGGCTTGATTTTGCTATCTGTCAATATTGTCATACAACTCTGAAATTCAAATCACTTGTCAACGCTTAAACTATCTTTTTCTGTTCATTCAACCGCTAATGGAATTTGCTTTTCCTTTTTTTTTTCTTTTTTTAAAAACGCAATTGGATTTTCTTTTTACTATATCGTGATTGAGAATCAGAGGTTGTACAATTGACTAGTTTTATATAATTATTTTTTTATAAAGAACTGGCTGGTGGATTCCCTAACAAAAAAAGAGGTTCTATGGCTGATGCTGATAATAACGTATATGTCCAATCGCAGCCTACGTTTAATTATACAACAACAGTCTATCGAGGCTAAAATTGAGAACTAACAAATTGCGAGGATTTATTGCTAAAATTAATAGAAAGACGCGGAAAACGCGGAATAAATGGATTGCAAGTGAATGCACATGAGGAACTGACAGCTCACACTAAAATGTGAGCTTAAGGGTGCACTGTGAAATACTCTATCTCTCGTGAAAGATAAAATAACTGCCAAAGTTATTGTATTATTGATAATATCAACATAGAATCTCTAGAGATCTCCATGAAATTATGGCTAAACACGAGAAAGAGTAGAAAAATATGCAAGAAATGTACTGTTTGGTATGCATGACTATTATAGGTGAAATTTAAGAATTCGAAAGCCACCAGCCAATATGACTTAGGTTTTTGGATGCGAAAGATATGGAACAATATGCGATACCAGAATATTTCATATTTGAGGGGAATCCTCTTTGAATGGAATATTAACGGTGACGAGAAGGCGGTTTAAAATGTATTTAGGGCTGTAATATCAGGCACTGTGAGCTTATCACGGAAACTGTAGATAATAGATAAACAGTAATGAGATAACTGCTGACACAAAAAAAGAGAAAACTGAAATTGCAAATTGAATATTGTGAACAGATGTGTACAGAACGTTGATCTGGACGAATGGTTGTTCATGCTCGCTGCCTTCAACCTTCGACCAATATACGTAATTTTCGTTCGTAGCGACACCGAGTACATGGCTTAAGTTTGACGCAAATTCTAAGTATATTTTCGAGTCGAGATATTTCGCGAATCTCCATTTTCGTAGAGGGTTCCATCGTCAGCTGAATATCGAGAGACAGATTTCGCATTTTTGTAAAATCTAATGTAAATGAATATGCGCTATCATACTCGCGAGTTTAGCTTATCATGGGCTTTGCAAGTTCTCTTCTCGTCTTACGAAATGTAATTCATTTCGTGTATACAACTCTACGATTCTGGAAAATTTACACATTCTTGATTGCGTATGCCATAAATCTGACTCGTCAATATAACATGAAAAAAGAAATATTTAGGTAAACGTAACACAATCCTCGCGCGATTACTGCTTTTGTTTACCGCGGATTTATTGCAAATCGAATTATAAGTTGCAAAATAATCGTTCACCGCGGATTTATTGCAAAGCGAGTTTTAAGTTGCAAAATAATCACAACTTAACCGCGTAAGAAGTTACTAAATAATCACATCGGGTTACAAGTTGCAAAGCAATCGCACTTGCGACTTATTGCCCGGTTTGTAGACACATACACGTGCATTTGTGATTTCTGCGCGATTCCTGGATGAAAGGAAGATAAATTAATATAACGTATCGCGCTAAGATTGAACTCGACCGAAGACGACGATTGAAATACGTTGAAATACGATGTACCGTACTCAACAACCGTTACGCGTCTTTCTATTTCTATTTGCTTCCTCGATAGTCTTCGATTCGGCAAAATTTTTCTAACAACATATTTAGCTATTGTTGTAACTACTATACAGGCAGATAAATATCTATTGAGTACAGGCGAGAAGTCAGTATTGATATTGCGAGAGTTTCGTTATCGGTGATGTCCATTAACGATTACGATCGAATGATCTCTGATCTATTCAGAACGCTGTCTTCTGCTTGACCGAGATAACGAAAGCAAATAATCTGCCAGATAATGATGGTGCCCCGTTGACTACATAAAATGAACAACCAAAGCAGACCGGAAGACCAACAATTATATCTGCTATACGATTTGATAATTTATTGAGTTCTTTTTTGTGTCACTGTTAATGCAAAGATACTGTAATGAATTAAGCTAATGTGCGATTTTGTTGATCAAATAATCTGTCGCCCACTGCATATTAATTTGATCGATCGGAATCGCATACGATTGCGTCATAGTCTAATATTACGGTCCCCTTTCATTTTATTATCTACTTAATATACAAACGTAAATGGGTTCAATGTAATAACAATTGTTTCGCCAAACGATCTGATCCGCGAAATGTTCCCATTTACAAACTACGAAAAATCTGCTCTTATTCTATTAGCTTCTCCTGTTGTTTTGCTTACGGCGATTCTTTGAAAATTCTTTTGGCAATATTACATAGACTAAGAAGAAAATACTTAGTCTTACTGCGCTGTAATTGGAAACATCGATAGATCCATTTTATGGAGTCTATTTTGCGAAATGTATTTTATTCAGCTTTCGAAAGAGTCAATAAGCTAATAAGTGGCTAATAAGCAAGCGGTTCAACTTTTTTGATTTTATAAAAATTTTACAAACTATTCTATTCCAATCAAAAATTATTTCTAACCAAAAATTCTTACTGATCTTTAAATGTGATCGATGCACGATGTTCGTACATTTCACCCATACAAAAAATTGTAAACGAAAACTCGTCCATTGATATTAAAAATCTACAAATTTGCGTGCTGTATTTGACTCTTTCTAAAGAATGATGTTTATGCGAAGTATATAAACTTAGAAAAAAGTGGGCTTAAAAAAATCAAAAAAAAAAAAGAAGAGAAAGAAACATTGATTAGCAATGTTATGTGAGCAGACTGAAGAACGTGGTAATTTTATAATCTTTACCTCTCTTGCAGCCATACCTATATATTGCCTATATTCTAAATTACAGACGAGTATCCTTTTCTGAAAAAAATTCTGGAAAATAAAGTTAATGAGTATGTTCGTGGCGCGTTTCACAGTTGCAAGTTGCCAAAGTAAACATTTTTTACTTTGGTATATTTTACCACGTCTTCACGTCTGCTCCATGAGGTATATTCAAGTGCGGTTCCCGCAACTAATCTTGGATATAACAAGGAGTGCCCTTGATATGAAAGTAAGCGAGTGTAATTCGTGCGACGTAGAAATACCTACGGAAGATTTCGGAAGTAAATGTGTTAACATCCGGGTATATGCGAGAATTGCGGAGGACTCTCTCCGATCCCATCCAGGGGAGGGTAAATTCTACTTCTCAATATCTACGATTTAAATCGTAAGTGTGAAGGGGAACATCATAAGAACGAGCTCTCTAACAGCACATCTAGATCTCGTACCTTCGCCTGAATTTATTTCCATTGGTTGATCCAATGCGGCGAGCTGCGTGTAAGCACATTCCCAACAAACGAGCCGAGAATTGATCGCATCGGAGGTTTAAACATCTAAACAAACGATCTTTCCGCGTTCGAATAACATACGCAGCTCGATAATAATATTGGAATTAGATCTCCAATATACATAAAATATTTTTAAAAAAGCAAAAAAAAAATAATTCGTTCGAAATGTAAAAGTCAGTTTATTGACTATCCTGCTTTACCGTTTTGTTAAAGAACTTATTATTTACACTTGTTTTTAAAAAAAATTGTAATAATCACTCAAATGTCATATCTGAACGGCTACTATATAATGTGATATTTTGTTACTATTATTAATATTGCTGCTATTAACGATATATGAACGAAGGATTTTCGACCCTGTGTAACGGACATCGATTTATTTTGTGACGTTGAAATCTCTGAGTTTGTTGTTCGTAAATTGCAAGCGACATAAGATTGCGAAATTTCTCTTGGAATTCTAGAAACAACTTGTTGAATTTTATAATTGATGCAATTAGGATTACACGATTAATGAAACTAAAAAGTGCGTCTCTAAATGGATAATAAAATGATTTCGCAGTATTATGTAGCTTGCATATCATTTACAAATAACTCGCGGCTCACGCGTAATTGTGCGCAGATGAAATACTCTCTGTATTTCTGATTTTTATGTGCATTTGTCAAGACAATATTCTCATTGTGTGTTATCCTTTCGGAATCTGTAAGCGGTATAAAACAAAATTATAAATAGGTTTTCTTGTTCTAAGTAACATTACCGTTTTTCTTTCTTCAAATTGTAAAGATGGGTTTGCGCGTGACTATGAAAAGAACTTTTTTTTTTTATTTGTCTTCGCTATTCTGTTAGCTCAAACCCATTCTAATAAGTCGTGTCAATTTTGTTTCCTTGAAGGGACAGAACAGCTCAACTGTCGTCCCTTAATAAAAATTCTGTTTCAGTACACACAATACACGAGATTATATCTATTTTTCACGTCATAAATCCCGACGTACTAGATTTCATCGTCCCAAGCTTTTTTCCCCCTTACGTAAAACGATCCTCTCTCATGTAGTCTCAGCAAGATTATTAGATAAACAAGGTGAATTTTCTACGTGTTATATATTACTTGAATTTTCAAGACTATGTTGTGAATCGCACCCTGCATTTTAAAACTTTCTAATTATTAAGGCATTTCTTTATCGAATGAACATTTTAATTAATCTTACTATTTGTTAAAAAGTTCGCCATGTGACCGGTTTCAAATAGCATCGATATACAATTGTTTGCAAATTGATATAAAATTTATGTTATAAATGATATTGAATTATCAAATGTATAAGAGAGAAGGAAATTGTTCTGTGTGGATGTATCTTGTTACCCACAAAGTTATTGCCGAGGTTTATTTATTATTTACTCGTATTTCGAAACATCTGCGGGCACTTATTGTTACAGTTTGCAATATATTTTGTACGTATATCCGAGGATTATTGCGGCTAATGCACGTTTAAGCGGATTACGTCAAATGCGACGTTACATGGAGGTATCGAAGTATCCTCCTTATAATACGGCTCACATAATTTGTCGCTCTAGACGTAGTATGCATTTTCCTCTAATACTACACTTAATACTACTTAACATTTAACGTTTAGTACGATTTATCAGATAAATCAGATAATTGATATCGGACAAATGTAATAAACGTCTCAAGGATACTATTGTTCTCATATCGATGTTGATTTTACAATTTAAAAAAATTAATGACTTGATTGTGGGATATAACAAGAATACGTGCATCATATTTGTAATATCGTTAGCACCCTCAAAAATTATACAACAAAAAATCTAATATAAATGACACGAGCTATTCGTGAAAATAATATTTCCTAAAATTAATTTAAAAAAAATGATAAATATAATATGTATAAAATCCTGTCATATAAGAGGAATGCTTTCTCAAGCCGTCAGCAAAAGAGTATAGTACCAAACGCATTCACTATCGAAAATGAAACATTGATACTTCAATACCATCGGATAACCATCCGTATTTCGATTCTACTGCCGTTATTGTAAGCTTTCCCAGCTCCACGCGATCCTCCGCGGCTCTTTCAAAAGAGGAGGATCTGCGGAAGTAGAGAACAAGCCGACGTGGCTCGGTGAGTGGGCGGAGAAGAGGGCATAAGAATTATGCTGTCAGACCCTTGGCGCGATATAAACGTTGGGCCGCTATTGATTTTAAGTAGTCGCTTAAATAGCGTCGTTCAGCCGTGCCACCACGGCGTCCGCGTCGTCGGGATGCATCGCGCCCGAAGATGCGTTAGCGACTCTCTCTCTCTCTCTCTCTCTCTCTCTCTCTCTCTCTCTCTCTCTCTCTCTCTCTCTCTCTCTTTTTCTTTCCCTTATCTCTTCGTAACGTTTTATGAATCCACCTTCCGATTCCACGCGTTTTGCATTCTCATACTCTCCAGTTATATTTATTTCTTCTTATCTTTGTTACTCTCGGTTCAGTTTTATTGCAGGAAATCATGCAATCAATGATTTATTGTTATATGGAATACATGCGATCACTTACATTTACATGTATTTTTTTCCAATTTTACTGCAAACCTTGGAAAACGGCGAAATTTACTTTCATACCACGCAAAAGGGATGATGAAATTCTTAATTCAATTTTATCAAAGTCCGATACATTTATAAGGTGCTTTCAGTTTATAGGTTTCTGAAATCTTTCTTGGATTCTTTTTTAACTAGTGTGTGGAGGTTGTAATTTTAATTTTAAAGTAATATTTCATCTTAAAGACTTTCCCTGCCAATAAATTAATTCATCGTACTAATTAATGTGTTGCATATCAAAGAAAAAAATATGGTTAAAGTTTTTATTTTACCCTTTTTATCTTTCCTACCGATCGATCAAGTTTCAAGAAGAACATCTACATTTTTGTATACCCATCTCTTCGGCTACGTTCCCTGGCCGGCGTTTCAAACAGTTTATATCAATTTTACTGCTGTTTTTAAAACAAACAAAACAATACAGTCAATTCTATTTATTTTCATAAAGCGCACTAAATGAAATGACGAAAGAAAGCGCAATTCTACGACCGACCCTCTTCTAGACTAATTCTGTAAGATTTATTTTCTCGTCACTTTGAATCGTTACTTCCCTCTTTTTTCTCGAAAAAGAGAAAAAGAGAGAGAGAAAGGGGAAGGGAGGCAGAGAAAAAGAGAGAGGAACACATCGCAATTTTGCCGACAACGGACGAGCAGATATCGATTCAGACGGTCAATTAGGTCTAAGAGGTCCTCCAGGGAGAATTTGTACATGACACACTACGAATCACTCCTCCGTCTCATCCGCCACCGCTAATGTGTCATTCTTCTCGCCGTGTAGCCAAATTCAGCCAGCCGTCCCTATTACCCTCCGTCTCTCTCAGTCTCGACCGGATCCCATCTTTCTACGCGGTCGTGGCTCTCTCATTTTCTGAATTATTTTTCCACGAGTCGTTTGCAGGGTCGAGACTCTGGAGACGGGAGGGGGGGGGTAGAAAAGAGCAAGGGGGTAGAAAAAGAGAAAGAGAGATTCGTACGGTCGAGGAAGTCCGTATGCCACACACATTCCCCTCCGGCTCGAATATATAGGCGACGACAATGCGACGATAGCGACGGAGAAGGATACAAGGATGCTGTGTGGAAGAAGACGGAGCGGTATAAAGAAACGAGAAATACTCTGAGACCCGTATTCCTGCTTCTATCTTCGCCGCCACATTTAGCACACTAAGCGTAGCCATCGGAGTGTGTGACCATCGGGTTTTAGGAGACCGATCCCTGGAACGTATACTTTAACCCCCAGATTGGAGGTATGTTACCCAAGTCCGGAGATACGAAAGAATGGGGATGTTTTCAATTACGGTGAATGATGATGAATAAAATATCTATCTTTCTGTTACCTTCTCTGTAAATTCATCACGAAGGATACTATATTTTTTCGTGGTTTTTAACGCCAAGTGAATCCCCTCTAGCAAGTTCAACGTTGATCTCTTCCGTTTCTTTCCAATCATCGAACGTGGAGGGAAAACGGAGAGACAATTGAACTATCGTTAAAATTAATCGACGCGCGACGTCCCGAGGAAACGTCGCTTATTTGTACGGTACGAGAATCGGGCAGGCACGCGTTTGGCGCCGAGTATGCGACCGGAATACGGGATCTTAGGGGACCACGAAATCTCGCTCGCCTCGCGGGCGGAATTCTACGATGGAATTCTACGATTCCGTAGCCGATATCGCGGTCGGGCCGACGACGGCGGTGCCGGGGCGCCGGGACCGTCGCCCTCCGCCCCGTAATCTGGCAGTGCATTTAACCACTTTGCGAAATAGCCGTATATCTCTCTCGCTGTGACGTAGCATTCGATATGTCGAGAGTGTGGGTTTCGGCGGCGAGATCGGCAGAACGAGGTGGCGAGGAGACGGTGGAGACGGGGGAGAAAGTTCCCGAGGATATAAAGAGACGCGAAGCGCCGAGGCCCTCGTGTGACGGGGATGAGAGGGAACCCGAAGGGGGGAGGCGAGAGTATAGCGACGACTACGATATGCGCGCGCCCCCCGTCATACCCGTTTAGGGATAGAAGGTGCCCCCCGCCCCGCGACCAGGGTGGGGTTACCCGTCCGTTGGTAGGGGGTGGAAATGCTCCCGATTCGACTCGGCGTGTAGGGCGCACGAGCCGACCGCCGCCGCCGGGGGTTGGAAGTGGGGATTTGTTACAGGGAGAGTATCTGTAGGTAGCAGGGGGAGAGAAGAGGGTGGAAATGAGACAGAAAGAGAGACGGAGAGAGAATGAGAGAGAGGGTGGACGTTGGGGCGCTGGAGAACGTACGCGCGCGATTGCAGGGTACGAGGGGTATAGAATCACGATGGTCGCGTATATGTGTGTGCGTCTGGCATACAGGGTGTCGTGAAAAATTCAGATTATAATGGTATTCTCTGACGAATTTTTGCATTATTTGATCTTGATGAAAATTTCACTGAAGATCTGATTCTTGGTTATCAAACGTCGTAGGGGCTTCAAAAAAGATTCTGCTACTCCGATCTCTTAAAACCCTTTAAAGCTTCTGAAGTTAAACAATTCGGACTCCATCTCCAAAGAGAGAATTCCGATACCGTCTCGCTACTATCTCTCGAGTGCTTCTGACCACCCTGTAGCGAAAGCGGAAGAAGGGTGCGCCCTACTTCGCGTCGGCGTTTTCCCTCCCAAGCGGCCCAGCGGGTGCAACGGGGCGCGAGGGTAGAAACGCGGGGATGTTAGCGGGGTACGGACGTACGGACGTACGAACGGACAGACGGAGAGAGACGGAGAGAGAGGGCGACGCGAGATGAAGATACGAGGAGAGGAAAGCCGCGCGAGAGGGTGTCTCTCTGTTTCGCTGCCGGGGGTTTCGCAGTCTCGCATTTCAACAACGACGACGCCGAACGTCGCTGGTGTCGCCGTCGCCGTTTTTTCCCTCGAGCAAGGGAACGCGCGCGCGCGTGTACGATAGATAGAAGCGTTAAGAAAAGAAGAGAGAGGGAGAGAGAGAGAGAGACAGATGTCGACAGATATAGAGAGTGGGTGAAAGGGTGAAAGGGGGAAAGAGAGAAAGAGAGAGAGAGGAAGCGAGGGGGCTCGCTCGCGAACCCTCGTACGTTGGCCCCCGGCGCAACGAGAGCAGCGTTACGCTCGGCTAGCACGACGGGGCACCTCGTGAGAATTCGGGTATCAGGGGTGCTTCCGTATAGTAGCGGCGGTGGTCGGTGATGTGAGTGGTGGCGGTGGTGGCCTGGTGGTAGCGGTGGTGGTGCCGTCGCTGGTGGTAGTGGTGCGGTTACAGTCGATACGGCGTGGCGGAGGCGCCGAGGAGCTTCTCGTCGGGGACGACGCAAGTGGTGCACGTTGGTGGGCGCAGATTTACGTAAGAACGACGACAACGACGGCGACGACGAGGACATGTCCGCCTGCTCGTCCGCTTACTAGTGACGTCGTATGTGCTGGTCGCTGGTCGCGTGTGCGCACGTGTGACGCCGCCAATGGATACTCGACGAAGTGGCTGATCGAAAATCCGAGGGGACGTCCTCGGTGGTTTGGGCTCGTCGAGCGCGCGCCGCTCGCAGAGCGAAGACGAAGGAACGCAGCGAGTGCTATAGCGGCGAGGGGTGCTGGGAAAAGATTCGCGAATGGACGAGACGGGTCCGTTCAATTTCGATTCTCCTCCTCGTAATTCGCCACAGTGCCCAGCGAGGACTCCGAAGAGCGGGCGGCTCCGGATTAATTTCGAGGTGTGTGAAAAAAGCAACAGCCAATAAAAGAAGAATCGTAAGGAAGAAAACACTAGGGAGAAAGGAAGGAAAGGGTACAAGTGCGAGAACTCGGAAAGCAGGAGGATGGGCGTAAGATCGGTCCCGAGAGGCTTCTCCGCGCGGAAGACGCTTCTCGGCCGTCGTTGAGACGACGCGAATCTCGAGTGTCGTCGGGAGAGAGCAAGGCACAGAGAGAAAGAGGGAAAGAAAGAAAGAGAGAGAAGAGTCGAGTCGAGTTGCGGGACGTCGAAAGTTCGCTACGACGACGACGACGACGACGACAATAACGATCCATCATGGGGGTCTCGGTGTTCCTGCTTTACGCGGTAACGGTGCTCGGCGTGGCAGCCAGCGACAATTGCGCCGACAAGTGTTCGTGCAAGTGGAAGAGCGGGAAGCGCACGGTGGAGTGCGTGAATCGCGACCTGACCAGCATACCGGAGTGGATCGATCCAGAGACCCAGGTGCTGGACATGAGCGGCAACAACATCTGCCACCTGCCGAACAACATATTTATACACGTGCGGCTGACGAATCTGCAGCGTCTCTACCTGCGTGAGTGCCGTATCGACCGGATCGACAGCAAGGCACTGGCCGGCCTGACGAATCTCGTCGAACTCGATCTAAGCAGCAATCTGCTGGTCGCGGTGCCGAGTTTGAGCTTCACCGATACGCCATTCCTGCGCGATCTCGTGCTCGCGTACAACCCGATCAAGCGGATCCGTCCGAACGCGTTCAAGAGCACGCTGAATCTGGTGAAGCTCGATCTGTCGCACACGCAGCTCGCCGAGATCGAGGGCAAGGGCTTCCACGGACTGGATATGCTCGAGAGCCTCAAGCTGAGCAACAATGCACTGTCCACTCTGCATCCGGGCACCTTCGAGCCGCTCAACAAACTCACCAGTATCGAATTGCACGAGAACCCGTGGGTCTGCGATTGCCATCTACGCGAGATGAAGATGTGGCTGGTGAAGCATAATCTGCCGATGATCGTGGCGCCCGTGTGCCACGGGCCTCAGCAGTTACTCAATCGTGCCTTCACCGACCTCGGTATCGACGACTTCGCCTGCCGGCCGATCCTGCTGATAGCCAGCCGTTACGCCGAGGCCACCATCGGCGAGAACGCCAGCATCGAGTGTCGCGTGAGCGCGATACCACCCGCAAAAGTCAAGTGGTATTGGAACGGCCGGCTGCTGACCAATCACTCGGCCTTTAGCAGCTATCAAAAGATCCTCATCTTCGAAGAGGGCCAGTTTAGAAAACGAAGTACCCTCATCCTGACCAACGCACAGGAGGCTGACTCCAGCGAGTTCTACTGCGTCGCCGAGAACCCCGCTGGCTGCGTCGAGGCAAATTTCACCCTACACGTGTCCCTGAGAACGGCGGGCATGTCGACTTTAGGTTCGGGTCAGATCGCGGGGATATCCGCCGCGTTAGTGGTGCTCATACTCTTCATCCTACTCATCATCCTCGTCCTGTTCATTCGTCTACGTAGAATGCCGCTGAAGGACGTTAAGTCGTCGGCGCCGATGGAAGCGGCGACCGGCGACGGTGTCGGCAGCGGCAGCGGTGGCGGCAGCGGTGACAACAACCCGCCGTCCGCGACCTCGACCACCCGCAGGAAACACGAGGAGATCGAGACGACGTCGTTCGCGCTGGAATCAAAACCGCCCGCTTCGTTGCACCTGAGCTACGTGCAGAGACCGCACGCGGCCGTGGTGCAGGAGAGCGAGTACAGCACGATCAGCCGCTTCGACGACCAGAATCAGTCCGCGGTGGCGGCGATGCCGGGCGCCGGGTGTTTCTCGTCGACGACGTCCTTGATGCCGATCGATAATCCGGATCTCATCAGGGACACCCGGCGCGGCTCCACCGAGGACATCACGCCTTACGGCGTCGCCGATTACGGCCGCGTCGAAGCGTTGGACGACGCCGGCAAGATGCTCTACACCAGCTGCCTGTGGGAGGCCAGGGACAGCTGCGGCAGGACGTCCGCCGTCTCGGTGAACGCGTACCCGTCGAAGGAGCAGCTCGCGGTGGTCGCGCCGGTCGTCGAGCAGTTTCCGCCCGGGGCGAAGCAGATGAGAGTCTGGCAGAAGGGCGTTCCGGTGCTGCCGCCGGTCTCGGCGCTGAAACGCGTCCTGGGATCCACGCGCAGCTCGCCCGACGAGGGTTATCAGGAGGGCACCGGCACCGACGTCTAGGTACCGCTACTTCATTACTGCGACGCCCGGCACCGTTATCTGGAGCTACGTAGACGGCACCAGGAGGACGACACCGACTGCTAAGAGAGGAACGAAGGAGAAGAAGAAGAAGAAAAAAAAACAAGAGTTGTCCTCGCGAGTGCCGGACGGGCGGTAGTGAACAGGAGTAAAAATGTGTCGGACGAATCTCGCGTTTAAGTGTGATCGCGTCCAAGTGTGACGATGACCGATGATAACGCGCCATTATTGTTGTGCTCGGACTGCTTTTCGCCGCTGGACGAAAGCGTTATGCTCGCGATCGCGTTCGCGTATAGTGATCGAAGATACCGCATTATATACAGTTTCACATCCAACAGATACCACTCAAGTCGGCAGGTGCGATAACACCCTGCGATCGGGAAGGAAGGTATGGTATACAATTGCATGGAACCATGGACAAGGCGCGAGCAACGCACACAGCCCACCCCTAAAGACTGCCATAACTAAACTACCATAACTACGCGAATCGAATATGCTTAGGCGTATGCAAGGAGCTTTCGAGAGGTCGACGAACGCGTGGATCGTTACTGCAATAGGTTGACATCGTGGCCACCGAGGAACGTCTGCGACATGCATAAACGTCTCGCTCGATGCGAATAAACTGGCTCGCATGGTTGACCGTGTTAAGGATCATCGCGTGCGATTAGCACGACCTTCTCGAGCCGGGCGCAATAGGCGACATGGCGAAAACGACGGCTGGGCCTTCTCGAAGAACCACCCGTGCCCGTGCTCGTCGCGAACGAACGCCCGCAAACAAGTGTTTGTAGTGGTGTGACTCTTCGAGGCGGCAATTAACGACAAAGTTAATTAAGTTGAGATGTCTTGTGTGCAATGCGTGTGGTGCAACCAGTTGGTAGATGTTCGGTTCCGTTTGTACGTGTCACGAGGGTTGTTGCCTCCAGTGTTCGATATCGACAATGTCAACTTGTACAGGATGTTCCGAAAAAATGGTCAACGAAAGACGATGATGCCTGTCGTTGCGAGTGAGACGAACCCTCGTAAATGTGTGTTCTGAAATAACTCGGAAGCTACCCACGGAAGTTGTTTGTACTTAAGAATACATAAATATCGTGATTGTTAATAAGACTTTACGATTAAGACCTTCGAGTATGCAGAAATCATCTTCAGATTCGCAGTAATCTCTCGGGAATCGTAACTGCAAATTCGATGAGAATCCAAATTTAGATACGTGTTCATTAAGATTCGCTTACACTCGCAACGATTGACACTATTATCTTTCAAAATATTGGCGTTCCCCTCTGGAAATATTCTGTGTAACGGAGCAATGAAAGATCGGTCGATCGTATCAACCGCAAGGCGACGTCTCGCGCACACGGAGTGCATACAGGAAGTGCATACACATGACGTGCATCAAGTCAGGGACGAGGAAGCGATGACGATACGCTACGTCGGCCACGTCATTGTCTGGGCAGCACAATATCGACGGGTAATACATTTGTATAACGGCTAAAGCCAAAAGCAGTTTGGGGTCTATTGGGAGGCCGAAATCTCCCGGGTAAAAAAAAAATACGTTAGGTGGCACTCCCCTTAAGACGATAAACGGCGAGTACGAAGACTGGCAGTGCACGTTTCCGATGATGGGGATGACGCGTAGAGTTGCATAGGAAGCGAGGAACGACGCTTAATCTACGAAGTATCTCTCGCGGATTTTTTCTAGTCAATTCGGTGAAAGAAAGAGAGGAAGGAAAAGAAAGCGGAAAAAAAATACAGAAAATGAGAACGGATTTTCACGACGGAATTATTTATTCGGCGGGATGGGAAACTCGCGCTGGCAAAATGGCGCGTATTCTCAATTAAGAGAATACGCGAGGTAGTCTCGTTGTGTCAACATCTGGGTTATTCCCTCGAAGCGCTTCGGTCGACAAACTCTCACGATTACGGACCGGCGAGCCTATATTGTTGCTTCGAGTGGCCGGTCCGAGTGGCTCTCGTGTCCGAGACGAAGCCTCGCGAGAACGATCGAGTAAGGGATATGGCGGCCGGATGCCGCTCTGGATCCATACTCACGACTCCACGTTTCCCGGATTCGATCGCAATCGCGGCCTCTTGGCGGATAGTACCAATTTTTCTCGAGTACCCTATATCAAATTTGCTACGTTTTCAACTGATATAAATTTATTTTTTCAATTTCCATTTTATCCGAATACACAGCTTGATTGAATTTCTTATTTTATTTAATATTCAATTTAGCAGTAATTTTCGATATACGATTATTGTTACGCGTGGTATAACAGCAATTTTGTTTATTTCAATATTTATCAGCGTTAAAGATATATGTATATCGTATTAAATTCATACAACAAATGTACAACGGTGCCGATCAATAATATTGATGACATCGGATATTAAAGCTTTCTTAACATAAATAGATAACGTGCCATTTGCAAGCACGTGTGTAGTGACGGTGAATCCAGAGTATATGTAGGTCTCGATCATTGTCTTTTTGTGCGTGCAACGGGAACCACTGGAATCAATTACATAAGGCTGCGTGATAAGTCCTTAAAACCAATCGCGAGCGAATGTATACTATTGCTCAATCACTAAAGCTGGATTTCGCGATTGATTGGTTGGCTTATGTCTGGCGTTGGCGTCTTACGTAAGTGAGACTCTGTCGATCCACGCATTCGACGGTGAACCGTACTGTCAAGTTGAATTACTACGCTCCTAAGGGTAACTTTGAGTCGCGCATTGAGTGATCAATTCAAAGAAAACTCGAATATTTCACAAAATTATCAGTAAGCAACGTGCCTCCGAACAGCCTACAATCATAAAATACGTTATAAAATCTTTGCAGCAATAGAAAAAAAATCTTTTGGTCATATATTATTATATTTTTCAGTTCAGTCATTGGTTTTTATTGGATGTTCTTATTTTACTGAATGTTTTTAGTTTATTACGCGTCATGTATTTTCCAATTTGGTATGCTGTCTTTTTCTGGAAGAAAAAAAAATTACTTTCTTTAATCTATCTGCAACAAAAAGGCTTATGTTCTTGCGGCGAACAATTTAATCAAAGTTACGAGCCATTTCCTCAGGCACCAATTTGTCCTGGAGACATTTTTTTACCCCTACAAGAAGGCAAGCAAATTCGATCTGATAAGTCAAAAACGCCAGTCGCGAGTTTCGTTCGATCCCCATCTAAAGTGTGTCGACGTGCGTTTATTTTGTATGTCGTATATAAGCATGTACCCGTGTGCGTGCGCGTATGTGTATGTGGATGAGTGTGGATGCGCGTGTATCCGTGTTTGCGCGTACGCGTTTTCCGTTCGTCGAAAAAGCTCGCGGCCGAGATAGCGCGCGCGCAATTCGGCGCTTTTGCGTTTATCACCGATTGTTCTATAGCGTATCGCGCGGAACGACCGGGTTTTCTCTGCTCAATGATCTCGAAACCGTATCCGTCATATCGGAAAAAAAAATAACAACAGCGCCCCGGAAATAGCGCCCGCGGCCACTCCGGACGATATGTCGCGTGCACACACAGAACTGGATCGCTCGGACTTTTGCATTAGTTCTTATATCTAGAGAAAAAGGGGGCGAGAGTAGACGACATACACGTGACATATAAGTAAATAAGGTTGACTCTACGAGCTCTGATACGATTGTACTGAATATTCTAACAGCAGTTACAGGGATTACTTACGGAACTTCTCTATCTGACAATTTCTATTTTCCGTTGCCCGTAATTAAAAGTCGTAGTAATTAGCCGGACTTAAGTGACGAGGAAAAAGTTCATAGGGATGTAAAGCGAGTGACAACAGTTACGTTGCTTTGAAACGAACTGGTCGCCGTTTGGCTACCATTCTTCTCACACGGATGTGAGTTGGTATATACGTGTAAAAGAAGACGAGGTCTTCGTGAAGCTAGCGACCCATTTTTAGAATTTTCAACATAATTAATGGAGTCCCCCGTCTTTCTTTTCATTTATTTTTTTATTTCCATGACTTTAATTGCTATCTTATCCGAGTAAACGGATTACGAATAACCGAGTTTCGTTTCCTCCCTTTTTTATTTCTCGCGGAAATTTTCGTTTCGTAACAATTTCGATTTGAGGAATGCGCCGTTACCCAATCCTACCTATCATTCGTAGTGATCCGCTCGTTAATCTACGTGAACCGAATTCGTCCTCGAAAAAAATTTCGTTTGAAACTTCTACGTGCAGTTTCGCTTACATACACGATGCTAAAAAAAATTGTATGGTATACAAAGCTCGCGAGTTTTTCCGCTTTACGGACGTCGTTGCGCGTTACTTCCGAACTTGCAATCCCTCATCTTGGATCGTGTGACCCTTGCATTTCGTAAAATTACATTAAAAACGCGAACTAACGAAAAAAATGTCGCGTTCATTTTTTTACAATTATTACCTGCTTATACTTTAAAATATGCTTTTGGGCGTTCTCGCGCATACCGGCATGTCGATCGCTCAAAGCAGCCGAGAGTCAACTGTTGCGTGCAAGTGAGTCTTTATATCTGATTTCCACTAGTTTTTTTTTTATACCTTTCGATCGACGTGGCACACAACTGAGTGCCGTAACGCCACATGCCAGGTCAATATACGCAGTGATAGCACTCGTTGTCTATAGTGACTGTAAGGCACGTGAGGTCTAGAACCTCACAACTCAATACGAGCTACATCGATCGAGGAATCAGGAAACGCGATGTTAATTGCAATTTATTGTCAAAATCAAAGTGCGAATCTTTGAGGTGTAGTCGTTCATGCGATATCACAATGTTATTTAATAAAAATTTCTACAAAACGCGCTGGATAGAGCAATCTAACGAGTTCGAATCTGATCCAGCTCGTCGGAAAATTACACAAACGCAATACTGCCAGGAAACACTAATTATTTATGAAACTATAAATTGGGACACGATAGAGATCATATTATAAAGAATTAATAATGTAATGAAATACATTATGTATTTCATTATCCGTTGATATCATTCAACTCATAAAGGAAAGATATTCTAAATTTGAACACGTGTATGTGATTTCACTCTTTTACAAGTGATGACGTAGTCGTTTTAATTCTCATCATGTACCTACGCTATTATGCAGGGAAATAATAAATATTTCAAACTTTGGTATTGGACTTAAAATTCTATTTTACGAGAATCACTTTCAATAGTAAGTCCCCGGGGATCACAGAACTAAGAATGATTGGTTGCCCCATTCGTTGCTCCATTGAAAGTTTTGCGTTCTGAGAATGACTCAATAATAAAACTTAGCAAGTATACTCAGAATAATGCTGTTTCGTCTCATCATTGACTTTGGTTTTCGCTTTTCTGAATTACTGATCAATATAGACGCCTTTTATTTTCTGGAATCCTACTTTCGAAAAATAAAAAATTGTGTAGTTAATTATTCACACGTGGCATGCGGTATTGCGTGAAATGAAACTTTCATCGTACACACGAATGTCTGTTCTACACAGGCATAGCGATTTTATATTTGTTAATGAGGATAACTTACCGAATAATTTATTCAAATTGTGTTCAACATTTCCACGTGCTGTTTCGCACACAACATCGGACTAATATTAAATTAATAGTTTTATTATGACATTTTCTATAATTTATCATTGATTAATTTAATACTGTGACAACAATAGCTTAGAATAAATTAAAATACATTTAACGCTAATGAATCATGAATAAACATCAGTTATATAAAGCTAGTTTAACTTTTAATGTATAATTAAGCTTTTAATCCAAGTTTTGACAACGTTTTATAAAGCTCAATTAAAATTTATTTGCAAAGTTTCGTTATGCGTCGATATCATTCGATTTATAAAAGGAAGGATATTTTAAATTTTATGCACGTGACTTTCTTTTTTCTACAACCGACAGGATGATGCAGACATCCTAATCTTTGTAATTTTTGTAACGATAACGCGATTACGTATTTGCATATTTTTACGAGAAAATATATTTGAAACACTGCCGAGAAAGGAGAAGGGGGTACACAAGACGAGCGTAAACAACCCTGTGCACATATTTTCTCACTTCTTAAGGTAATTTCGCTCGCTGGGAGAAGCTCGTTCTTCGCTCCTAGCGTGAAAATATGCTTTTGCGACCGCGACGTTCGATGCCGCGGGTCTTCGTAAAATTTACACACCTTGAATTTTCGTACTTTCGGAACCATATAGACGTATTAACATAATGTTACGCAGCGGCGGATTTAGAATATTTTGGGCGCAAAATGAGGTATTCCGAGCCCTTCGAAAAAAAAAAGATATAAAATAAATCAGATGAATTTTATAACATATATATGTGTATCCTATATCATAAATATTTTTAACTAGAGTTTATAAAATTGTTATAATGTTTTAATGTTTCTTATTGATGTGGCCGAGACCGGCCGTATAGCTTTATTACCTAGGCCAAAGTTTGCATCAGTTGTTACGGGTCATTATTATCAGAATATAGATACAGCATTCAATGGTATTTTCCCGTTGTTGTGACGTAACAAATGAGTACCATCTGTCTTAACAATTGGCAGCAATAAATCGTAGTAACTACCAATCGACCGAAAAGTATTTTAAATTAAAGCGGAAACGGGACAAGTGCATGTGTGAGAGTGAAAGAGAGAACGAGAGAGGGGGGAGAGAAAAGGAATAAGAGATTAAAAGACAAAGTGTTAATTTTACTGAATTCGTGAAGTTTTGTATACATAGGCAATAATGTACGGCAACTTTTATGGTGGACAAGCGAAGTAATGCAAGAAAATCGTGAATTATCTACAGCACTTGATAATAATGAAGCAGAGATGGACACGGCAAATAAAAAAGAAGATATTTATTCGCGGTGGCTTCGCACATACAACAAGGTGTGAATGATAAGTGTTTTCTACAACCTCGAAGTACGCGCGGCAAATTAATTGTCGTTACACTATAATAACGCGCCACGTTGTTAATTTTGTACCCGGTTGAAGTAGCGAGATTAACTTCTAATCCGGCGTTCTCTCTTTTTAACTTAATTGAAAAAAATGTGGACAGACAGAAATTAAAAAAGCAAAAGGATACTGAATTTTAAAATAAGGACGCATATCTTAGTCTTTTTTAAAGACATTAAGGACAAGTTGCGTTTTAAAGTACTTTAAATCGCGTCTTAAGATACTTAAATCGATTTTAAACACATACACGTGACTGCCAGATGTGTAACCACGGGTCAAGAGTTAATTTCGTTCATGATGCGTGACGTTATTTCTCTCCGATTTGTTAAAAAGAATTATACAGATATCCGGAAATATATCTAACATAACATCTATTTATAAATATCCAGTTGTTACATAAATAACGTTCATGAAGGTGCGATGTATTTTTAGATGGAAGTAATTGAATGAATTTCTGATACAAGTACTCAGGTATGATTAGGGTTGCCAGAGATCTTTGTGTATGTGGATTTGCCCTAGATTTCAAGGCGACGAAGATAACGGCGTTATATCACAAATTTAGGAACCTAATTTAATTTTTGAAATCTTATAATTATATACGTTTCAAAACGAGAAGAGTAAACAGATTGAATCGAGGAACATATTGAAGGTATAGAACAGAGAATAACGCCCTTATTTATAAAATACAAACTTTGTCTTTACTGTAATCGTAAACCGTACTAGTTCCTGTATGTCGAAGGGAAAAATCTGGCAATCCTGAGAGCACGAAGAAAGGCACCGAGATACGCATCGACGTAACGCGTCGACCTCGGCCTTAAAAGCTGCCCTTTACAATTAGACCGAGTGTTACAAACCGCGTTGCCGCGACTCGTAACCGGCTATGCGCTCCGTGTTAACGCTAGTAATAACATTAATGAGTAACTCTTTAACGTGCGCCCCAACAAGCGGCCCGAACACGCGAGTCCTGCGAAAAATCCTCGCTACAGGTTGTTGGCTCTGTTAATAACCCGTGCGGTAACACATCCGTAACGTATGCATCATCCTTATTATTGGGACATAGACCTTCGTATATATGTATATATATTATATATATACGTCCTGAGTTTTCTAGCCCCTCTCTATCAATTTTACATTTTTTATCGTAATTTTAAAGCGCTGAGCGCATATCTACGCTTCTATTGCGGACAATAAAAATTTCAGTTTTAAAGATAATAGGACGTCGACGGCGTCTACAGGCTATTGTTTGAAACAATAGTATCGCGTACATATGCGCTCCGTCCGAAGGGATATCACATACACTTGTACGTACCATCGCGACACATCAGATATAATCTGAAAACCGGATGAGAGGAGGAAATGTAAATCTCTCGAAAATCGCGGGAAAATGATAGGGTTGCCAACGAGATTATTTTACAAAATCTTTAGATTTGACAAAATGTAAATCTCTCTTCGAGCTTGGAATTCTTTATACATTCCTCACATATCCACATGCTCACATATCCCATACATTCACATATCTATATGTTTTACATATCTATATGTTTTATTACACATCATTTTACACACTTACATATCGTTACATATCTATACCTATAAGTAGTTTTTCAAGATGTCATAGTTCTCGAAGGAAACTTTGTTATTGAATTAATCCGAATTAATCTAAATTTTTCTCCTCAGCGCGGAACCAATGCATTATTGTTGGCAATCTCAAAAAGTGAGCAGAGAACGTTATTATATATCCTGCGTGCGCGCGTGTACATGTTCGTGTGCGTTGTATATGCGTATGTAAGTATGTATGTGCATTTGCCTGTAAACCGAGTGCTCGCGTGTAAGTTATAAAGGAACCGGACCTAGTTTACGACCCTTAAGACGTGCCCGCCAAAGGGGGCAACCACTTTTAAGGATGTTAACGATGTACAAATGTGTAATTTAGTGTCGCAGAAAGAATCCGTCTAATGGCGCGGTGTATGACGACGAATATATAAGAAAAATAAACGAGAAAAAGTATATAAAAATATTTCTTTTATTTTACAAGTAACGAGATGGAAGGGCGTGCGTATGATTGCGATCCGTTTTAGAGGGCATAGGCGTATCTATATTTCCAAGATTACGCACTTTTTTGAAGGTATACATAAATAGAGCAGAATATACCGTTCAAGACGGAAATTGTTGATGAAAGAAAGGGAGGCGAGAGAGAGGAGAGAGAGAGCGCGCGTGCGATACGCTGTCATAAACCCACATGTACGGTAAAAATCATGTGCTATAAGGGCAGTTGTCGAAATAAAATTTTTTTCGATCGAATAACTGGTTTTTGTTCTTCCTATCCAGCTACAAGTTTGTTATTTTTTAAGATAATAAAAAAAATGCGAAATTGATAGAAGCGAAATGTAGCAACATTTGAAACAAACTGAGAATATGATTACAGAAATAAATATAAATATAAATCCTGTAGTTTTTGTAAGCACCAGAAATAATGAAAAAAAAAGGAATAAATATTTCAGACTTCGTCTGCGCATAACTATTTAAAACTAATGTGATTACATTTTTATTCATGTTCAAGAATTATTTATTTGACCTATCTGTCCATCAAATTTTCTGAATAAAATATGAGAGCCTGATGTGCAATTTATATATAATTTGTTTTCAAATATCTTTACAAAATATATTAATTTCACCGCTTAAATAACTTATATTCCTAAAGTTTATGAATTTAATTTAAATGCATCTTATACACCTAAAATAGTGATTAAAAATTATCGCATATGTTGAAAAGGAACCTCGATAATTCCAGTGCACTGTATCATAAATATTTATCGAGGATTTAACATTATTCGCCATTTTCGTACGTTTATTTTCTACCGTGTTAATGATCATAAATGTCTACGGGCACGTGCGCTAACACGATCTGTCGATATGTCGTTATTTTCGTCATTGCGTTTATCTGTTGACATTAAAAAGAGGTATTGAACGGGAATGTGGACTCGAGCCATGAGATTTCGAGCGACTGTCAAACAAACGCCGGGAACGAAGAGCGGAGAGATAGATCGAAGACAGGCAGGACGATGGTGCTCTTGACGTTTGACGAGGAGGAATCCCCTATCCGTCATTATTATAAGCGGCACTTTATCAATAGAAAGAGGGTCATCTCGTGTCAGATCGATCCGCTTGCATTTGTCAAAGTGAGAAATTATGATGGGTCTCGCATACATACATCATGTAAAAGGATCGCGTGAAAATTCAATTGGAAAGTATTCCGCGACGTATAATATGCGAGTAATATATGAAGGGAGGGATACGCGTCGAATCGTGATGTGCGTATATAACGAAAGAAAATCAGCAAAAAACGAGAGAAAATGAGCGGATAAAGGAAACGTCATGTTGGATGTCAAATCTAGACTGAATTCCGCAATTTTACGTATACCCAATTACGACGTTCATAATTAAAGTCTTGAAGCATGGATTATTAAATCAGTCAGTTTACTACGCACATTTCTCGTAAATATATTATATTATCTTCGCGAAAACGGAACATATTCATCATATTTTATTAATCAATTTCACAAACGTCTCTTCCGGCCTCTTCTGTAACGCGTATCGAGATAAATTATAGATACATATAATTTATCCCGGATCCCGGAGTCGCGAGTCGCGAGTGAATTGTCTAAAACGGATTTTAAGTAAATACGGACACGCAAATTCTACAGCAAGACCGCCGATAGCATTCCGCCGGATTTCTGGCCGAAAACGACGCAGCCTGATTGAAACCTGAACGGCCGAATTGCATCCGGCGACACGGGCGTTGCATTCTGAAATTTCATATCCAACAATCGCGTTATAGCAACAATGCCTTGATTGGTATCATTCTATCTGTGCCGTCTGTCCCGCGTTTCTATTTGTAACAAAAAATCAATATATCCGCATGATGTTCTCTGTCCCCTCCCCGTCAATCTGTCCCACCATTCCCGCGCTCTCCTTTGCTCCCAATCTTTACACGGATAGCACAGTTATTCTACATCCATATATGTATCTCTAACGGGATGAACGCGTTGTTGGGATACACGACAAATGCACGAGCACATGCTTTAGCGTTAGATTTAACGGTATTGTGCGTATTCATGTTTTTTCGAGTGAAAAAGCACGACGGCTGTAAAAAGCTGCAACTGCATTGTACAATGAAGAGAAAGAGAGAGAGAGAGAGAGAGAGAGAGAGAGAGAAAAGGGAGGAAAAAACAATATCGTTTGAAAGGGCAATCGGTTATTATTTTCTGTACTACTGTGATGTATCGGGTATCGATTGTGTGTTAGCAGAAATACCGTTATCTGCGTCTACGAGACAAGGCAGGTATTGTTTCTGATGTTAACCGTAATATTGCCACAGTCGTGCGGTTGTATATAATATTTATATTTGCATCATGCAAAAACGCGCAGTAGCACGACAACGATGCTTCGTTCGCAATAAATACACGCAATATTTTTCGTGAATGCAAAGCAATCATAATGAAGTTGAATCATATATATTTCGTATAACAAGCTTGTCCAAATTATAAAATTGAAAATGTCGGGGGAAAAAATGAAACTTTTTTTTGTACCAAATATATGTATATATGGCCAGATACAAAACACCAGTTTATTTAAATTATTTAACTCACTTTTAAATTAAATGATAAATTTTAACGCATTTGATGAATTTATCTTTTCACGTTCATACTAAAATTAAGAGTCACGATAATTATTAAACATTCCATATTATATAGCTGTTGTATTTTGATCCCTCGTCTCTCGTCCTAATTCTAGGCAAAGTATTCGCTTTATCATTTACATCGGGATCTTGGCAGCGGCTCCAATTCAGCAGCGAGACATGGCACGAAAAAGAGCGCCTACACCATGACCGCGATGCCGAAATGCATATACCGAGTTTCATATCCATGCGCCGAGGCTTCGAATGCAGCGCGCGGACTATCTCGAAAACGTCATTATTGCGCTGCGGCATACAACTCGCGAGGGTAAACACGCGTGTGCACACGTATTAACGTACGCACAACGATACGTCGGGCATACACCGGGAAAACGACATATTATTTTCCCGAATGGTAATCGCGAATTCAGCCACGGTCTGAAAATGCGTATCGTACGGTCTTCATAATACGGCTGTTACCGTGAACTATTGCGGCGCCCGCAATTCTGGCCTGTCTCGTATTTTAGGTCGTACTCTTCAGGGATAACGCGATGTATGCACGCCCATGTTATTTGAAAGAGATATGTACATGCATTCCTATGCTAATACGAAACTTCAGATAGTCCGCAACGATATCACACACATTTTCGGTTAAAATCTAATTTGCTACAATCAATTATATAATTAAAAAGAAATATCTAAAATAAATAATGTGGATCATTTTATATCCTTATTTATGACGATAAAAATTGTATTTTAATTACAGGATTTTTGTATGAATTATAATTGTAATTGCTAATTAATAAGAAAAGGTTTGGCTTCGAAGAAAGAAACCGTAAGCTCTACATATAAATAAAAAGAATCGGTTATAGCATCGCGAATGGAGTATTCAGCGACATGGTTTTGACCTCTTTTTTTTTTTAATCGCCCGTTGCTATTCTCGCTGATTAACCGGATCTCATGTTAATTAGACGCGAGCGGAATTGCACGGGCGACTGGCAATTATTATTTACGCGCGTCGTTCTTTTTCACGCTCTCGCGTGCTAGCTAGCTCGGGCCGTCAGCGCTGCCTCCGCTTCGAATTTACTTCGCGCAATTACCCATGGGTGTGTTCCTGAAATATCGCGTTCTCCACCACGTTTTGCTTTTAATTTCGTGCAGGGCCTCCGCCGCCGCCCGCGTTAGCGCGCGGTTATCCTTGGAGGGCGATATTCATTTTATTAAGCGCGCGTGCGCCGGGCATCGCGACGTGCAAAGTAAAAAAAAAAAGAGGGAAAAGAAATGGGGAAACGAGAGAAGAGAGGAGGAAAATTTAAACGCGTGTGGGATCTTTTTGCGAGGCTCCTAAGCCCGTATTTTATCGTCCGACGTTCAAATTCGCGTGTACGTAATTCGCGCGTTACTACGTAATCTTGGGTGGCCCCGCGGTCTTGTACACGGACTGATTCGCGATCGAAGATATCGCATCGCTCGAAGAACCGCTTTCTGAACCGTCTAGATAAAGCGCCGCTGCAATTAAATCTCGAGTAACACCGAACGAGTTTTTTGAGCGCAAAGTTTGAGTATCGTTAATTGGCAAACGCCGTAGAGTTTGCTGTGCTATCGTAGACGTGTATACCTTCTAAATACCTTTCCCTCTTCTGAGTCACTCGCGAATACGCGGATTCGCGCGATACGATAAAGTTTGTTCTCCGAAACCAATTTAAGAGGCGAAACTTATACGATAATATCGAAACTCATTCGACGAGTGTCAAGGCCATTTTTTCGCATCAAGTCCATTACATTGTGTTTTCTTAACGCACGAAGAGCCCGTCCAAAAATATGACACGTTTACTTAACGTTACCTAAATGACCCACCCGATTAACATTAATTTTAATTGCTGTGCGTAATTTTCCTGCATAACTCCTAAAGTAGATGTCAATTTAAAAAATAATAATAGGCTAACTTAGTTAAATGTCAAGTTATTTACATGTTAAAGTACTATTTAGGCGATTACGATTTTGCAGATATATATTGATGTTTTGGTGAAATTGTCATGAAATCAAACTTGCACAATTTTAAATAAATGTATATGGAATTATTTGAGTTTACATTATGCATTACATAAAATTACATTACTTTGAAGAGTACAGCTGCTTTGAAGTGATATGTAAATATATCTAAAAATATCCATAGTTGCGTGTAATGCACTTTGCGATATACTTATACACTGATAATATTTACAGACGTCATCGCGCGCTTGGCTTTTCCCGGAATAACGATAAGCAAACGCTACGGTAGAGTGGGAGTGAAAAATCTCGTTTTAAAGTCCGCCAGGAGCCGCACCTGTAAATTAAACTTTAATCAAAAATTCCCGCGGAGCAAAGAATAGCCCCGACCGAGTTACGCTCTTGTAGTGAACCATAGGTCCGTTGGGTATACCATGGAAAAAAAGATACGCGCCATGATCTGCTTAACTCCCAGCAGCTTTATCGAAGTTGAATTTCAGATCGGGTCGATAGGTCCGCACCGCGCGTCGCGAATTATTTCCACTTGCGAGATTAGAAATACGTTTTTAGCCGCGATATCAGTAGTATACGGGTTAACGTCGCTCCAAATTACCGCACGGTTGGTCGATTAATTCCATTTTCTCTAATAACTATATCGAACCCACGGGCATGTCCCCGATGTCCCGCTCGCATCCGAAATCGAATCACCGCGCGTCG